GCCTGAATCATACATGGAAACGGAAGAAAGTTTATCAGAGATAAGACGAAAGCATATCTCAGAACTACCGCTGGACACGCTGAGACGGTTCTACCAGGTTCAAAAAGCAAAAAAATGCCAACTGATGAGAAAAAGAATTAAGCACGACTGCGTAAACACCATTTACTGACTGAAACAACTTCTCCTTTGAAGTCGAAACGGATCAATCGACTGGGGTGTGTGCTCGGATTTAAACTGGGATTGAGAAATTTGTTAACTGTTCTGCTATTCTAAGCCAAAATGAATACCAAATGAGAGCCGAAAAAGTGGGAAGAGTGAATTTATATGGGAACATCAATAGGCCTAAAAGATTAACTCGTCCCCATTTCTGTCGGGGACACCGCCCTCGCGGGCTTCCATTGCAGGTATAAGAAACTAAGTATAAGATATGTACAGGAAAGTATTGGTCAGAATTCACATGCTGTTGTATAAAATCGAGGCTTGAGAAGCCTGATCACGTCGATATTAACCGCAGGCTCTCCTGCAATCTTAATAAGAGTGCCGACTGCACCGCTCAGCATAATGCTGGGTACCGGCTCCGGGACCAATTGTCAGAGGTGCTGGGACTCCCCAGCACCACCTAGAGTAATCAAAGCATGTTGACGTCATCACAGTGAGATGCAGGGACAACTCGGAGTGTGCACGAGTGCTGCGTCAGCGTGCGCTAGGGACTCGTGTCCAGTCATTGTGTTCGAGGAAGCTCGGCATCGGGTTCGGATTCAATTTCTGAGTCGGTGTCATCTGACTGCGATGTCGCTTCATGGGAAAAGACATCCGCGGGCCTCGATTATTCTCTGGGGTGTTTTCCTTCCCAGTCGATCGATATAAAATATTGCATAGCGCCAGGCTGTTCACAAGTTTCATCAAACAAGCGCCACTATCTTGTTTCTATATTCTTCTTTCCTTGTATTTGCCCTATTTTTACCAAGATCCATACGATGCATTTCAATGGGGTAAATGTTTTTGATTAAATGGTTCATTATCTTTCTAGAGTGTGTACTAATTTGGTCATAAAAAATCGTAAGGGCGCAGGCGAGCTGGTGAATATTAACCATGATGAATTAACCTGAGACTGCGGTTGAGAAGAAACATCAAAACGTACAAGAGACAAAAAATATAGAGGACGACGTCTCAAACTCAGCTAACTCGTTTATATAGTCCACCTCCTTTAATAGTCTCATTCTCAAAGTCATTTCCACCAACACAAAGGACGAAGTCTATACATTTTGTTGATTGAAATTACAATGAGTACCATTTTCGATGCAGTAAAAACGTTTGGTGATCGTAATGCATATTTCCGGCATGCATAAATAAGTAACGGAACGTTTTTTTCTGTAGTATCTCATTCAATATTGGTGGCTGATATTAAGGCGTGTTCAATTCTTAGTTATAATTTTTGTTCCTGATCTATTCGCGTGTCTCGTATGCAAGTGTTTTGTAGGATGCCTTAATCGCGTGGATATTCCTATCGAAGCGTTTGGGATTCACATAAAGATTATGAAAAACAATGTCAAAGAATAGCAGCTATTTTATGAGCAGAGGTTTCGACAGGATTTTTTTTATATATATGACCTCAAAAAACGTGTGGTCACTGAATATGTGTATATTATATCTCGGCGTCATGCCTTACAAAAGAACTCATTTCAAAATTTGCTGTCAAAATCAGTTTTCCAAAAACAACTTTAAGTAGGTCATAATTATCCTTTATATACTACCAATATTCATGCGGAAAATTGTGGATAATGAAGTGCGAAGAATTACGCTGAGCATCGTGAAACTTATTGCCAGAAATTTTGTTACGGTGATAGGGTTAACGCACTCGTGTCGCAGAAAAGGAGGCCTCGGTGGCGTAGAAGTAAAGATGGCGTTGATGGCGGGAGTCGAATCCTGATTGGTCAAAGGGTGATGACGTCAGAGCCACTTGAACCCGCGCGGGAATTTCAAACAACTCGGAACACTCACATAAACATGACGTCACACGTCAAATGAAAGCGATTAAAATAACATGGCATGTAATGCAAAATAAATCTTGACGCATGTCTCGAATGATATTACTTTATAAATTAATTTATTTTCCTTAAAGAAGGACTTCAAGAATCTAAGGAGGGAATCGAACCCACGATTCTTCAGTTGCAAGGCAGACATGCTACTGACAAGGCCTCGGAAGGCACGCTTGCACGGCGAACGAGAAAGCAATGCAAATTTGTCATGAGAACGCTATTTCGTTTCACTTTTAAAGGCAGAGTTTAAGCGTCCTTCAAGTTTTAATCATTAAATACGTTTTTTTTAGGGGCGGGGGGAGGGGTGGGGGGGGGGGGGGGGGCGAGGGAGAAGCGCGAGCATACCATCGAACAGAGAACATGTGGGTCCAGTAAACAACCCGACATAATTATTCATACCCGCAATCCCGAACAAGATTCTACTGTATATTGCATTGGCAGAAAGAATCAAATGTTTAGCACATCACCGGTCAATGAAAGGATGACTAAATCACAGACCACCATACACAGCAGTACACAGTTAGCATGATAATGGAAATAAGAGTTGGCCTGTTTCTCTATTGAAACTGAAATGCTGCGATGATATTTTTAATGAGTAATAGCGTTCATCATTTCTACCAACGAACGTAACAAGGAGAATCAGAGGTCATTTAAGATATTTCTTAAATTCATTTCAAACGAGTTCGCCACGAAACTACAAAACTGCGATGTGGAGGTAATGGTAAATACTTTGCTCGATCTTTCACCTATCGTCCTTTCAGGCAGACGATATCTACAAATTCAGGTAACATGTCTTTAAATAGAAAAATAATATGCCAGCAGTTCTATATATAATCAGATATTTGAAACAGTATTTTTTTCTGTTCGACTCTTCACATTTCTTATGAAGGCCAATAACTGGATCAACTGAATTACTTCAAGATTTATAAAAACAAATTAGGCTTGAATAAAAATGAAGACGGAATTGATGCTAAACCGAGCATGGCATTCAATGCCGAACACCACAATCAACAGATGGAGATGGGGACTTCAAAAATCGGACGGATCTGATACAGCATATTTTATATATTAATATGGAAGCTACTTGATTTTTGCAGGCTCAATATTTGTAGAATTTTGCTGTGTGTGGGGTTCCCCAATCTTTCGGGGGCCCAATATTTCTAGAATGGGAGAGACGTTAAACGTTTTGCTTATATTTTAAAGTCTTGCAATTCGCAAGAAATTGGTACACGCTAAAATAAAGTCCCTTACAGTACCGCATCTTTTAAAAATATTTTTAAATAAAACAAATCTGAAACAATTATGGGTTTGCAAAGAAACAAAATAATGAGGAGAATTCTAGTTTCTTGCAATTTTTTTTAATGACATAGCCAGCTAAATGTATGAGTTTGCGGAAAGAAATATAAGGATTATTCTAGCTTACTTTGCTCTACGTCCATCACGGTGGCATCTTGACATTTAAGTTCAGAACAGAGAATATTTATTTGCCCTTAGTACTACTTCAATTTTTATGGCTAAGTTAAGGCTTGTTTTGCAAGTTTGTATGAATGGATTCCGTTTTTTGGGTTCAGGCTTGATTAAGCAAGTGGGTTCAGTTTTGATGAAACAATCTGTCGGAGGTCGAGTCATGACCTCTAAATATTTCCGGTTTATTTTTCCAGAGCAGAGACTTTAAAGGGGCACTGACACCCCAAAGGTCGTATTTATTTTTATTGTCTAAAACGATGCAAGTTGCAGCCATAGACACGCAAAAAAAAAACGCATCGCGAAAAAAAATTTTCCCGCGCGCACGCGCGCCTTTTTATTTTTGCCGTTTGAATTTCCCGCCTCTCGCCTCCTCGCTTCTTTTGATCGGTGACGTCAAAAATCAGGAAATTTAAAAGCTTTGTAGGCGGCATCTTTATAACATTTAATGACGGCAATCCTAAAACATGTTTTTTAACGCAATTGCGAACGCACTACGGCCCTTCTTTTTGAAATACCAAAAATCGGGAGTTCGTTGTGGTGCCGTCTCCTGGATTTGTATCCTCCAACGGAAAACAGGCGACACCGCTCAAAACCGGTCCGCCGCAACGCCGGTGCTAGCCGGCGCTCGCTCCTTTCCTCCTCGCTTTGGGTCGCCATGGCAACAGCAGGGAGTGGTGACAGGAAAGGGGACTCTCAGGTCTCCGCAATTTTTGACGTCAAGGCACCGGCGCCGATCGCGCGGGAACTTCGAATTCGGCATTTGGAAATTGTTTTTTTACTTCACGAATACTGAATTCCCAAATTTCAAATTTTGAGGGTAATGTCCCGGCATCGTTTTCGACCGTTTCGGATAATAAAAAAAAATATGATTTTGATGTGTCAGTGCCCCTTTAAGGAATCCGACCCCGGTTGATGCAATTGATTGAATAAAAGAATGAATAAAACCAAGTGTTACATACGCTCAATATTAAACTGAAATATATCCCCTAAAAACACAGTCAATTTAGTATATATTAAGTGACTTTAATTCTTTTTATTTTCATATCTTTTCCGTAATATTATTCTTATGAATCAATTTGAAAAGTTGCGTAGGCCGTTACCGCCAACTTCTTTATAATAGCGCAAGCGTAGCAGCAGAAAAATATATATGATTTTGTTTTCATAGAAACAACGTGGTCATGAATCTTTTTATAAAGGAGACCTTTTACTGTCAAATATTTTATTCGAAGCGTATTTTGTCTAAAAGTTTATTGCACCAACTTCCATGCTCATAAAAAAACCTTCATCGTACAAAGCAAAAAAGTTATATGTACTTTGCACGTGGATATTGACACCGAAGGTTCATTCAACCCCGCAGATGTTTCTGTTTACCGTTTATAATGCAATTCTGACGTAAATCTGACGCTGTTTTGAACCGCTGTTACATCCGGCTTTTCTTTACTGGAGGTATAAAATACGCAAACATCGTCGTATATTCATTCAGATTCATTTCAAAGATACTACGATGGCGTTTAACGTGATCAGCTTTCTTCCATTGGCCGTCCTTTTTGTCATTATATTTAATATCAAGTGAGTCCCTTTTCATCCAATTTGTCCTTCGCTTCTTGCTTAAATATTACAATAACGGTGATATCGTACATGTTGCTAATATCAAAGCTTAATCCCTTCATAAACCTTGTTGGACAAACGAGAATGCGTTATGCGATGTTGTAGGAAAATACAATGCACTGGCATTTTTAAAATTTATTGTATTTAGATTTTGATTCAGTTTTGTTATGGATGTTACGTTGTTCCCTTTTTGAGTTAATGTCGGCTCTAGGCACTGGGATAGGAAGGGTATAATTCTTTATTATTTTAAGCTTAGTAATCAATCTCAGGACGATCAATAAAAAAACGAATTAATACTTTTTTGTTTTTTAAGTCAACGAGGTAGCAAATTTACCTGTAGGTACATTATTGTTTGTGCTTCCTCGAGTTTGGTTGCAAAATGCTGCGCTCAAACTTTTTCATAACCAACGGCACGATGCAGCACTCATCCTCATTCTGTGAATCATTTTCAATATTTTTGTGAGATCTACTTTTTCTATATTTTCGGGCGCTGGCAGTTCAACTATAAATTACATACAGGAGCCGATTTGTATTTACAGCCTTTTTGAAAGTTTATTTCTAAAAATATTGAATTGTACAAAACTGTGTTTAAAGAGCACTGCAGTAAGTTTGCCGTCCACAAATATTGTCATACAATTTGCGGGTATTACTAATGAAACGATCAATGGTTATTTTTCAAAACCTCGGGGCTAAACCCACGTATATTGTAAATAACTACATTTATAGATTTTCTCAGTCACGCAATACAACCAACATATCGACAGTCTGCTTCATAATATTTTTTATGAGCAAATACCACGTGGTATGCAATCGGTCTAGTTTTATTTGTGAAGTCGTTAAAATAAACACACAAAAATCAATAGAAGTGAAATATATTAATAAAACATTTTTATCTGGAAATATACACGAATAGCACGTTTAACAATAGGTTATGCTTACTTTAAATGTACTCGAAGATGCGATTTTGAATACCTAAAGATGAAGATACTTAAACAAGTGTTGCGATATATTATTTTAGAGCATTAAAAAAGGCTTAGTTGTTTTCCTTTATATTTATACTTTTATATACTAACGTCGTACACATAACATATAAAATAATTAAAAATAATCAGGAAGGTGTTCGTAGCTCTTAATATAATCCAGATTGTACAGTAAAACAAACGAATAAAATTCATTTTTTGAAAGATAACATTCAGAAAAAAATTGCGTTCTAGCGTTGCGTTCCAGCGTTGCGTTCCAGCGTTCAGAAATGTTGCATCGTTAATATCCCTCTCACTGACATCAAATAATACCTTCATCAGAGCAATAATTAAGATAGAACATATACAAAGGTGTGTTTGAGTATAATTAAAAACAGATACCAACGTGGTGTAAGTCGTACGGCCGCCGTATGCGCAACTCATATATCAGATTCGGATGAAGCAACTACACGATAATTTAGCTAAATTACTAAAATAATGAAATTTTTATTTTATTTTTTCCTTTTCTAGGGGGATGTGTTGCTATTTGATAATAAAACCGAATATATTTAATTTATTCTTCTTTCAACTGACTTAAGGTACTCATCAATTTCCTTTCGCGCTTTGATGCCTAATTCTGAATGTTAACGAATAAAAAGGGCGAAACATTCCGTTCTTAACAATTCATAAAAATGTGAGGTACATCTCTTAGTGGATTCTCAAAATCAATATCGCAAGAACGAGATAAGCAGGAAGATGCTGAAATGTCTGCGTGCCCCTAGCACGGGTGATTTTTGATTATAGTTCGGTACTTTTTTTAGATATATATTTTGCATTTGCGAGACCAAAGCGCGAAAATAGACCGATTAATTACTCAAAGACGGTAGGTATTTTCACAGTAGTAAAAATTGATTCAACCTCTACTTTTATTTATTTATTTATTCATTTATTTCAATACCCTCAGGGCCCATAGGGCATTACAGAGGGGGTGGGGCATATAAGAATTCACTCAAAAGGAAATACAAACGTAAAAGGCAGTGATTAAAGCACAATCAATTCGACAAAATAATAACAAAAGTGATTAGTAAGCGCTTCTTTAAATAGATCAAGTGATGGGATAGCTGCTAAAGATGCTTGAAGGTGGTTCCACTCAGAAGACGTTCATGGTATGAAGGAGTCGTTGTATGCTGATGTCTCACAGTGAGGAATGCCGACCTTGAAACGATGATCAATACGTGAAGAGATATATGCGGGGTTAAGGAATAGCTTATCCTTTAGTGAAGCGTTGAAGTGATAAATTTTGTAGAAAAGGCATAGATGAGGTATTTTTCGCCGTAAGGAAAGAAGAGGCAGGGACTATGAGGTTTTCATAGATGGTACACTAGCGGTGCGATGATAGTTAGAATAGATAAAACGTACTCCACGATTTTGAACAGCTTCAACGTTAGTCACGGGAGGCACTTGTAAGTGCCTCCCGTGCCGAAATGACAGCATGACCACTAAAACCAAAAGGTTAACTTTTGAATCCAGTTATTTCACCAACTTACCGTAAAGGTTATTCAATCCTGTAAATTCGTCGACATTTACAGCTGCAGTAGGAAGTATGTATCCGTGAAACTCGCTTTTTTATTAAAAAAATTTTTAAGGGCAGTCTGCTCAGGTCAAGAGCAGACTGCCCTTGACCTGAGCGGTGTTAACTTCCTCTTGAGGTTAACGCTAACCCGCAGTGCCGAAACACTGCCCAACATTCTCTCGGCGTCACGAGAAGTAAATACCAAAATAACGAGCAAGTGAAGACAACTTGCGTACGTATCGTACGATTTGCGCAAATTTTATTCGACATATCTTTCTGGGCACTGACTTCGTTGCTCAGGTGACTCGTGTCGAGGAGGAATGTATAATTTAGTCTCGACTAGCTTTTCTGCCGACACGACGGTACCAGCGAGGCGGCGCCTATTGCGCAACTAGAGAACTCCGACAACCTCGGCGGCAACCCCAACGACTCGGGCGACTCGGTCAGCATGGGACGCCGGGAGACGCCATTTCCTCCGTGCCTTCCGATTGACTGCAGTGTCTTGGAAACATTATCTGCAGGGAAAAATTTGGTCTGGGACCAATTGCTACCGCGGTCGAATATTCCGTCACCGGCAAAACGATTTCCCTTCTCGGCGTTAATTTCCTCCTGGATTCGCCTGCGATTCCGCGAGTGCGAAGGAATGATTAGTGGGGTTCGATGACGCTAAGCAACTTGCTATTTAAAAACTTGAGTTTACCAAAAAAGAGTAAAAATCGCACATAAAATATGAGTTCTTTTTAACTAAGTAATTCAAGATTTTTTTGTTCAAATGTACAACCATTCGTGACGATTAGTCTCTTTTATTAGGTGCCTCTAGCCGTATTACCCACCTGACGGCATTAGTGCTGCTCTATCTTCTATGAAACAGATCGTAAAGCCTAAATAAAAACGCTAGTTACAGTACTTAACAACCTTGAATTGCTTAAACGAAGTATTATTATCTCGCGCAATGATAAATGTTCTAGTTTTTTTTTCATATTCCAAGAGACCTGATTAAACTGCCTGTGATTTTTCAAACACTTCAAATTTTTTTTTTTACTAAAGCACCTCAACTCAGTATATACTACTATTAAAAAGCTTTTAATCTTTTCAGTGTCCATTCGGCTTCCGCCGGATTGAAAGAATCAAGTGGCCCTCAAAGTTCCGACAATTCCATTAAAGCCGAATTTTGCGATACAAACGTAAGTTCAATTTAAGAGCATTGGAAACAAATACTTTTATTCGTAAAGCTGTTTAAAGATAGCTTTAAAATTGATGCAATATATAACTGAACAATCTGCTCTTAGAATACATACATTTCAAATAAACTGAAAATCGTCTTATTTTTATCTTTTTCTGTCTAGTTTTTATGACAACACTATATGACGTTCCGATTACGCCACATCATCGGCACAATCGTTTTTTTTTACGTTTAGGTTATAAGCTTGAAAGTTGGTGTTACATATTTTTGGAAGCAAATACTTGAAGCACCGGTTGAAGAACGGTACCTTTTAATGTACAACATTTCGCACACCATCGTGTCCCTGGTACGGACCACCGCAACATTCTGGTACATCATGGCAGAAATTATTTAATTACGTAACACTACTCAAACACTTTTCCCAAAAATAATTATACTTTAATTAGTTGGTATTAGAGTATTATTATCGAAACTAAAAACTAAACTTATACTTCACTCTTGAAAAATAATCGATTTGTAAAAAATAGCGGTTGCATATTAAATGGACGATCAAATAGTATCTTTAATGTTACAAAACTTCTTATCGGAAAATATTTTAGGAATCATCGTGTAGGTAAAAGTACTGTAATTTAATGGTAAAGCAAGCCATCGCAAGACATAAAAGATACAAGGTGGAGTGGCCTGTGGCTGTTAATTGTGTTCCTTTTAATAAAGCCATAAGCACTGCACTGAATGCTTGAGATGAAGTCTGCAGAGGGAGGTTTTATGATTGTCATAAAATGAAGACTTGTTGATTGAGGTGTTCAAACTTGCTTTTTTCTCTCCGATTTAGATATATTTAACTTTAAAATTTCGTTTTGCATTATTTCAAAATTTTTAAATATTATAATATTAAAATTAAGTTTAATTTGTTATCAGCAGCTTGAAGCAAAAAAAAAAGTTGTAGATAAAAACATGATGCTTCATGCAGTTTTTCTTTTTAAAATATAATGTCGGTTTTTTAGTGGTTGATATATTTTTATTATGTGGAACGTACAGAAATGTTAACTTAATCTGGTTTAGCCAAATATGTTGTTTATTTCATTTATGTACTAAATTTAGGCGCTTTTTTCGCATGAGATATTTATACACAGTCGACACATAGACCACCTATATTTTACATGCGGTATAAGCAATTCAGCCAAGATAGTGTAGTAATTACAATTTGCTTTGTGCAGTGTAATATAATTTATAATTTTTTTTGTGTATCCTATAAATGGTGCATAAATAAAATCTTGAGCAGTTAGATATTTAAAGTTTTTTTTTCTGTGTTAAAGCAAACACAATCTACCATTTTAAAATACTATATTTAACTACATAAATGTTGTTTTTTAGTCATCTGCAATTAATAGTTTTGCTTCTACCGAAACAAAACATTCCAAGCGACATCTTAGAGAACACTACTTTCCAATATTTATTTTAGGCAAAAATATATTATCGTATTTTTAAAACTATAGTAGACTTGGACATATAACACAAATGTCCATCCCTTTCAATACCAAAGTAAATTACATATATATGTATTGCCAGAATTTATTACTTGAGATAACATTTTAAACAACATTGAAAACACGAAATTCACATTTACCGCGCCTCTGATTCTACTTTATTTTTCAGTGTACAATGAAGACGGATGGAACGTGGACCGATTGCAGTGGCGGCTGCTTTTGTGTACATGTTGGAAACGAAAGGGAAGGTCGCTGCATGAGGTGGGATGGTGACTATGACTACCCGTCAACAGAACCAGAAGAATGAACCTGAACGGCTTTGCCGCTGACCGAAATCGCACCATGCTCCCAAAAAGAAAAACAAGGGAGCCTTGAACCTGCATACGTTATACTATTATGATGTTGTATACCTATAATTACGAATGAAAAAGTAAATAAACCTACAAAAGTGTAATGCACGTGTAAATATTTGCCGTTATATTCTAGAGAATTTATGATATATATTTTAGTTCATTTTTTTCGTTTTTAACGTTCGCCTAGGTATTGTGCTATTAAACCAGCTATACACAAGAAAACTATGAGTTGTAGGATTGTATATAGGTTGTTTTTCCTTCACAGAGAAATTATAAGAAGGGTACCCCAAGTAAACAACATATCCCTGCAAAAATGCTATCGACACTGCAAACTCAATGGCGCACTCAAATAGTATTTTTATATCGTATAATAAAGGCGATAACTCAATGCTCGAGCTCTAAGCATCCTAAAAAAATTCCGAGGGCACCTAGCACTTGTTATGAGTTGTGAATGAGAACGCATCACTGACTCGCTGGCCACTGCTGCTCCGCTGGGTGAGGCAGCGGCGGGAGTGTGAAGCCTGGCCCGGCGCGTCCTGAAATCGCGTGTCCTCTCATCATCATCATCTCCCTAGCTGCGGGTACCGGTTGCCGACCTTAGAGCTCAAAGCGTAACTTTAGGTCTAGCGTTAGTCGACGACGACAAAGAGTGAAACGAGCCTGATGAACAAAGCCTTCGAAGCCGGAATGGTGTGTCACGTGGATGTCACGACCATCGCTTTGAACGTGCGACCAAAGGGTCGGAATCTTTGCATGATATCCACGCGGCTTTCTACAGCAAGGTCCTCTCTATCCTAGTGAAACCTCAAAGCTACTACATCTCATTGGTGAAACTGCAATAGGAGCTTGCTTTGAAAAAAGTGGCTCCGATCAGCAGTCGAGAATCAAACTATACGTGACGGCAACGCCACCATTCCACCCGCAGCGGCCACTCTGGGAACTCTGCACCTGCACGTACAGTTACAGTTGAGTCGCGCAAATGGCGCCCTCAAGAAAAAGTTTTTTTTTTTTTTTTTTTTTTGCAGGAATTTCATTTTTAGTAAAAAAATCGATTTTACAGGACTATGTGAGTCTTTTCATTTCCGGTGTATCCGGAATTTTTCCGAAGTCACTAGACTTTTTACCACATTTTTATTTACAGTAAATATATATTTTTCTAGGTTATGCGACTCTTTTTACTTCCGGTAAAGCGGAAATTCAGCGGAAGTCACCGGATTTTCCTTGATTCACCAGGGATTACCGGAAGTCACCGGATTTGCCTTAATTCACCGGAACGTACTGTGTTTTTTTTTCGGACGTCAACCAAAGTCATTTAAGAAGTAGCATGTGAACCGTGGGCGGTGTATGTTTAGCAGATGCTGAACCATTCGGCAACAATCAAAACGGTTATTTTATATAGACTTGAAAGTTCCATGACTTTATTTTACAGGGTCGATACTAGGGAAACAATTTGCGCAGCTGTAGACAAAAACAGTCAGACCAAATAAAAACAACTGAGTTCTTTGTCGGAAAATATTTCTTTCAAGGTACTCACCACTCCGCTGGTTAAATTCCTAGATGCACGGCAGTTCAACTAATAAGTCTTACCAGGTGCACCACACGCATACACACACACACTGTCAGTAGCACGTTTAGGGAAAACCAAGAATGCGCCACCAACATCTGCCGCCGTTGAGAAATCCTGAGCCCAGTCACGGTCTCGTCCCTTATGCCGTCACAGCGGCGTCTTCTTTGCAGGCTGGATGCTTCTGAAGCCGGACGGAGGAAGAGGCACAAGTAACAGGGCACTGAAATATATATTTTTAGAGCGCAGGTCTAAGGGGCACGTTTTCGGCTTGAACGGCGTCGGCGTCGACGTAACCATCCTAGTGAAAAAGCCATTTGTATGAGAAATTTCTTGTGTCCAATAAACACATATGAACCGTACAAGATATATACGAACATATAAGAACCATGTAAGAGCTATATAAGAGCAATGAGTAATATAAGAAACTCTAAGAACCATATATGAAAAATGTAAGGAACTTCACCAAAGGTTCTTATATGGTGCTTGTATGTTCTTATATAGTTCTTATATAGTTCTTATACCATTCTTATATGTTCCAGACGATCAGGCGTTTCACAGCGCTCCGTGCTTGGCCAGCTACTGTTTCTTATTTACATTATTGACCTGGTACTGAACATCTCTACTTCCATTTGCCTGTTTGCGGCCGATTGCGTAATATATAGTAAAATAACTGCCATATCGGACACATTACTTCTACAATCAGACCTTAACCAGATATCATTATGATGTAACCAGTAGCTAATGGAACTAAACACTGACAAATGTAAATATATGAGAATATCACGTGGTTCATCTCTGCTTCACACTTATCACCTAAACAGTAAGCCTCTCGCATCAGTGTCAAGTCATAAATACCTTGGTGTTCATATAACGTCTAACCTTTCTTGGAAACTTCATGTCGAATACGTGATTAACAATGCTAATCGTGTGTTAGGATACCTTAAAGGAAATTTCTTTCTCGCTCCGTCCTCCTTGAAACTAACCATGTACAAAACTCTCATCCGCCCAAAATTAGAATATGCTGCCGATGTGCGGGACCCCTCACACCATTCACTAATTTCCCTTATTGAATCTGTCCAAAACCGTTCAGTCCGTTTTATCATGTCGAACTATCACCGCTCTGCCGGCGGTTCTACCATGAAAACCTCTATAGGCCTGCCATCACTAACGCATCGCCGTAAAATCGTTCGTTCGTGTCTTTTCCATAAAATATTTCATCAAAATGCTGACCTTCGTCGTAAACTAATTATCCCACCATTCTGCAGCTCTGCTCGCATTGATTATAGCCATAAAGTTGGTATACCAAATTTTAAAACTTCGTTGTTTCAATATTTTTTTATTCCCCAAACATCATTGGATTGGAACCACCTTCCCGCCTCAATAGCTAACATTACTTATATTGTTTTGTTTAAGAGGGTTGTAACTAACATGTGCACATTGTAATCATTATTTTGATGTCCTCTCCCCTATTCAATGTATTATTACCTTGAGGGTATTTGAAATATATAAATAAATAAATATGTTCCTATATATCTTGCATAATTCATATGTGTTTATTGGACACAAAAATATCTTATACAAGTGAGATTTTTCAATAGGGCACTCGGTGCATTATGGGAAACGTCCCATAATGCATCCCGACGCAACGTCACAGTGCCGAAACTTCATCGTGCCGGGACGTCACCGTGCCAAAACGTCACCGTGGCGAAACGTCACCGTGACGACACGTCACTGTGACTTCATCAAAACATTGCGGGACGACGCGCGTTTCGCGCGTAAGAGAAGGAGGGGGTGAAAAGGGGAGGGAACGAATGAGGAGCAATACCCTTCCCGCAATACCCTCCCCTTCTCCTCCTCAAGAGCTGCACACTAAATCGGTGTTACAAGAAGTTGTAAACGTCTCTCATCTTTTTATTTTTTTTTTATCTGCACACCCAGCTGCTCTGGAAGATTCAGGTCGCACACATCGAAGGGGAAGTTGACACTGAGAGCGTCCGCTCGTTACCCAGTTCGCGCGTGTTGAGGGAGAAAAAAACGGATTTCTTCAAAGGAAACAGCAAAAAGACTCCCTAGCATTTCTTCCACGCACCCAATGCGAGGGAGAGAGGGTTCGTGGGGACTCGTGCTTGCGGCTTTCTAGGCACCATAATTCCACACCCAGTCCACGGCTCGTCTCGTTCCCCATCTCCACGCGTCGGCTTCAATGAAATTCGGTTAACGGGAAAGGGAGTAGCAGCTGCTAGAAACTTCCTGCAAAGCCGGGTCGTGTGGTAAAGGAAAATTGCGGCCGGTATATGGTAACCAAGATTAGCTGCCGGCAAATCTTCGAACAATGGCTGGTAAACTACCCTGGTTCCGGACAAAAACGGGTGAAACTATACCAGATTTCACCGGATGTCACTGGAAGCTTTTGGCGGATTTGTCAATAGGGCGGTGCCATTTTGCAGGGCCATCTAGACGTAGCTATATAAATTAAGTTTCATGTTTTTGGCTCGCCGCTAAAGGGCCGCGCTGTAATCTCATCTAAATCGGTCTAGTTGGATGCGTGCGGGACAGGTTTTTAGGTCGGGCCTTATGTGCGCTCTCGAAAGCGATGAAATTGGTTGCTTTTTTTGACGTTATTCTTCGGCAGAACGGACAAGGTGCATCCTAGAGGCGCTATTTTCTGTGGATACACAGAACCACACTTTCCCACTCTTCGTTATCCTAAACACTGCGTCACCAACAATGAGCACGTATGCCAACGGCGTCTTTTCGGGGTTGAAATATGTAAATCAGCAATGAACTCCGTAATTCATTGCTTTACCCGGTGGCCATTCAGATGCAAGCAAAACAGTAGAGAAAAAACGAGATCGTTCGTTCATTATCTAGTATTGTCACGAATGACAATTGACGAGACGACGAATGAATAGACAGAAAATAAAGGTTTAATTTGGCATTGCCGAAATAAACAAACAGAAAAATAGTGTCGTGTTTTTTTTTTTTTTTTTTTTGCAAAAACCCGACACGAAGTAGTGCGTGCATAAACAGTGCTTCTTCACAGTCAAGTTCTCTATGTAAAACAAGACCCTTACAGGTTCTAATAAAGCGCAGAATTCATTTTTTTTTACATTTCGTGACATTTTTAGAGTAAAACAACTACTTCAACGAGCTTTGAAGTAGCATGTTCAAGTGTCGGATTTTCTCCTGGCAAATCAATAACTGTGATTGGCTATCACCCGATGACACGTGGATGACTTGAGGGCATTATATCGTGAGGCCTAATGCTTTATTTAATATATAAAAAATCATTTCCTGTTTTGATTGACACCAGCTATAAAAATCTGGTAACTTGTGCAGTTCATGGGCAGCTCGCCGAACCACGGTACTAGCTTTTAAAAAAGACAATAAAATCTTTAATTGTGTTTACAGGCATGGGAGAGAAGCGCAAGTACTCATGCAAGACAAACAACTATGTCCTCAAAAACTCGGTTAATGCCTAACAAAAATATATAAAAAAAAAGTTGGAGTAGGTT